TCATGATCGCAGCCGTAACAAGTACAAGTAGGTAAGTAAGTACTGGAAGCGGGATCAGGCGCAGTGACTGCCATTGATAAACATTCCGGCTACGCGCGCCACACACCCACGTCGTCCGGTCTCAGTGAACTAGGGTGATAATGCATTGCATTGCGATCACACTATGGATAACAGCAATTAAAGCAGTTTCTTATTTGAGGAGCTTAGAAACAGCATATGAGAAAGTAACTAAACAGTCTAGCTCCTACAGCCAACAAAATTTCTTAGCTTTTGTATGTGTATCTGAAGTATAATAACGCTCGCTATTGGGCGGTTTCCCCGGGAGTCTAGTACCCACTTTAAAAGTTACACTAATCTAACCTTTTACACTTAAGTGGCCTGTATATTCCTCATCGCGGCACTGGGCCTTCCCGAAGCGCTGATCCCTGTTCAGCTGTTGTGGGTCAACCTGGTCACAGACGGTCTTCCCGCAACGGCTCTGGGCTTCAATCCGCCCGATATTGACATCATGGAGCGACCGCCACGCAACTCCAAGGAGCCCCTCATCAGCACCTGGCTCTTCTTCCGCTACATGGTGGTTGGCAGCTATGTTGGCATTGCGACAGTTGGTGCCTCAGCCTGGTGGTTCCTGCATAACCCCGATGGTCCAATGGTCTCTTACTACCAGCTGGTGAGTCACTCATTTACTTGCAGAGAGGGCAATGTTAGCCTAGTCCACGGCGGCTTCAGAGCCTACGTATTTGCGTATTCTTTTTGTTGTTTCAAAACTAACTGGAGAAGTCCACACAATTCGTAAGACCCATCTACCAGTGATCGTAACGGAATTTAGCACGGGGAGGGGGGCAGGTAGCCTACAAGCCACCTTAACAGGAAGCCCATGCAGTCTGGAGTAGTACCCAATCATCCCATCAGTTGGCAACTGTAGAAACCACGACAATTAGCACCTCATTACAGTTTCAGAGAGCGTTTGGTGGTTTGCAGTCAGGAATTAGGGGCTGGATCTGGGTTGTATCTACATAACTCGCCCCTTTTCCATGCGCCTGTGGTGTGTCGGAGTCAGACCAGCTACTGTTAGCGATCGACCTCGTTAAATGTTAACCGAAATTCTGAAATGCGTTTTCAGTTAGCAAGTAAAGTTTTAATATTCATTTTCATGCAGCATGCTTCCAGGATGATTCAGCCACGTGAGGATTCTGGCTTTTACTTTCATTCCTTTTCGACCATCTGCAAAAATTGTAATAGGTAAAAAATTACTAATTAAGTGTTACATATTTCATTAATTTCCGATGCCCTTATAAATTCAGATAACTCGTATGAAAAACATGAATCAATGATATTTTTTCCACTCATTTCACTGAAAATTACGTCTCATTCAAAGTTTATACTCAACGGAAGGCTATCTTTCAGTGTTTAAAAAGTTATACTTTTAGGATTATTTTGAACCTGATATGCCATCGCATATATATGAAAAATCCAAAATTTCCATTTTAGGATTGAAAAGTCACATTGGCAAACAATTATTTTCAGTCATTCACCATCAGGCCGGCGCAGTGACATCGAAAAAAAAATGATCAGTTAATTGCACCGTTTCTATGATCGTCAAGTTCGGGAGGAAAGGGTTTGGTGGGTGGATGTAATTAAGCATATGGGTTTCCCCTCATCTCCTGAATGCAGGCGCCAGCGCGTGTGCGACGTTGGTTGCGATGCGCAGAGAAGACGGGGCGATTGCCTCACGGTCAGCGGGTTGAGGTCTGTATGTAAGCCGCTCAGCGTGCGCTTGACTATTCTCTGTGGCTCCGTTTTGCGTGTTTTCGGTAAGCATATGAGTTCTCCCTCGTCTCCGATGCCATTGAGAGGACCCCTATGGATGGCTTATCAATTTTCAAGTGTGTGAGTTGTATTGTATACTTTGTAAAGAGCCTTAATAAATAGACGAATGCTTTGCTATCTGAATGGACATTCCTGTCTCAAAGTTGTCATGATTACAAGAATATTCTGGACCGAAAGGTCTTCTTCCTTTGAAGATAGAATTCGAAGTAATTTTTTTACTACCAACGGAGCAATTTTCGGCCTACCACAATCATCATCATCGCCCCCACCTGGATTATAACCACGTACAGATTACCGGCCAGTAAAAATCACACGTATATGAAGGCCATGCGTCTTTGTGTTTGAAAAAGTTTTCATACGCCAGATGTAAACGAAATGTAAATCTGCAGTTCATGCTGCGTCTTCGGCCACGCGTGACAAAACGGAATTCAGAATGGCGCCGGTCCATACGGCCTTGGCGCTCAGGGCATACTCGGGTCATTACTACTATGTTTGCCGGTTCGTCAGGCAAAATTCAAAGAAGGTAGCACCCTGACACGTTGTACTTGCATTGTTGGCACACTCCGTTCGGGGTGTAATGTAATGCAAAGCCAATAAGCGATTCTAATTTGAAAGGCAAATGATCTGACCTGGTCTCAGCAAACATTTGGACTTTTCGCTGTCGCCTCGTCAGTTCTTGGTTCTGGACCGGGCCCTCTGGACGTCCCTCTTATTGCTATTTGTTAGAGGGTCAGCTACTCTCAAAAGACCATCTCAATGTAAACAGGGTGTTATATCGCTTTTCAGTCTGTTTGTAGGCCTTCCTCTAGCCACACCACTTTTTAAATTGGACGGACTTAGTGCAATGTGATGAGCCCTCAGTGGCAGGGTAGTGGGTCATTACTCGCAATGTTTTTCCGTCTGCACGTGTAACGGCCTGTTTTTGCAGAGTTCTTGTTTCAGGTGCTTTCCTCAGCAGCCATCTTGTCGGCATTCCGTTAGTAGTCGGGCATGCCATGCGCCGCACGCCAGATTGGAATTGGAAATTATGTTTTAGGTACTATGACTGCAGGTCACTACAGACTATTTTGTTTTGCGTCCTACCGCCAATTTCCTCTGTGTGCATTGAGATTTCCATAAGAAATTAGTCAGCGTAGAAGTAGTTGTTCACTAATAGGGGTGAAGAGTTACCCTCTTCAGCATCCCGTGGGGTCTCTAAATCCTTCTTCCTATGGCTTAATTTGAAGGCACCCAACGCGACACTTCCCAACCTTGGTAAAAGTGTACGAAAATAAATCTGTTAACTTTATCGGCGCGTACTTTGGGCCCAGTTACGTTCACTTCTGCATCAAACTGCCCTTTAAGTATGTTTTTCATTCAGTTGCCTGGTCAATTTGTGCACGTTAGCAATTGGCTACAGCGCAATCCGTGTCCTGTTCAGTGCTCTGTGTTCAGTGTCCTCTTCAGTGTTATATCATTCCAAAGTACTCCATGCGCAAACCACATAACACCGAAAGATCCTAAACGGTGCATAATGACCGAAGACTGCAACTGTCGACATGATGGCCATTCGTCAGTGAATAAGTCGAACATTTTACTTGCAATTTGTCTACCCCAAGATGGTGCTAGCATGGTATGCAGATGACCTTTCTATTTGTTAATCAGATAAAAACGAGAGGTTAACACATTCGTAGTTAGTGAGCAAACTGGGCCAACCAATG